AGTATCACCCCTCTCATGCCTCTTAACTCTTTCCAAACCTCCTAACCTTTTCAGGTAATGCAGGAATCAGTGGGACCTTGGCTGACACAGGTGTGATTTGGGCTGGGAAATACCTTTAGGGGATGTTTGGAATGTCCACAGCCCTCAGCATCTCGCAACCAAATGGCCCCACCAGCCTCATTCTCTAACCCAAACTCTTATCTGGTCTGCAACTGCCAGAGGGATTTTTGTAAAATGCATAGCAAATCTGACCATATCATGCCCACCCTCCCTCACTTGCTTTGTTAGATCTTTTGATGATGGAATAAAGCCCCAAACCCTAATGTGGCAAGTAAAGTCTTTCCTATTTTGTCTCTAGATTCTGTATTTCCCATAACATGCCTGTTGCTTCTTGCCCTTGGCACCTGTAGTTTCTTCTCTTCCCTCTTACCCATGCGCCTTACCAGAGTATATCTTGCTTCTTCTACAGCTTACTATCCACACAGAGCTCTTAATAAACTCTGAGCTACTTATTTATTCCTTGTGTATGCATTCTCCATCCCACTTTCCCAGCTGATGAGCTCACTGACAGCAGGCAACATTTCTTCCTTTTTTTTCTTTTAAATGTAGCTATGCTATTGGAACTGCCAGTCCACGGGTTTATATACAATAGGAACTCAATGATTTATGAATGAATGAATCTGGAGAGTCATTGCTTTAGAGACTATAATTAGTTCATAACTTTGCTCTGTTTGCTTCGTGTGGGTATGTGTTTAGCAGAACAATGTGACCCTGCTGTGACTTGACTATCTTCTGCAATGCTTTGTGTTAAAGGTTGCAGCATGTTGTGACATGCCTTAGGAACAGGAACTGTGTGACACAGTATACTCTCTTCCATTATTTAAGTTGTGTATACACATTCATTTGGCAAACATTCCTTTAGGCACTCATATACCAGGCACTGGGCAAGGCATAGGAGCAGAGAGTAGTAATGCTATAGTAATACCAGAGTACTTCAAAAAGTTTGTGGAGAAATGGAATGAAAAGGTAATATAAATCTTTTCATGAACTTTTTGAAGGCCTCTTGTACTTCTATTTATTGTGTGCCTTCTCTATTCTAGGCTGTGCATTTAAGTTAGCTCATGAGATCAACCACCTCCTATATACAAGGAAACAGAGCCTCATATTTAAATGTCTTCTCTAAGGGAATGCAGCTAATAAGTGGAAAACTAAATTTGAACTGAGGTCTGCCTTATTCCTAAGCTCCTGACTCCTTTCAATACTGTGTACCACCTCACAGCTACTGATTGTTGAATACTTTCTATTTCTGAGGTGCATGGGACACGTGTTATTTTAATTTAACTTTCCAAGGCATTATTATCCCCATTATATGGGAGAGAAAATGGGCTCAGAGAGGTTAAATAACTTGTGCAGGATCACACAGAACTGTGGCTAGAGGCAGAGCTGAGATACTTGGATCTGCTTGACTCCCAAGCTCATTCTCTCTCTGCTTAGCACACGGCGTGATCTAGCCAGAGGGCAAAAGGCTTGTAAGAAGGTGATTGAAATTCAGTGTAATAAGTACAGATATAGAATGGCCAG